TAGTCCATTATCCAGCCGGAATCACCAGCTGTAACTAAGAGAACGTCCAAAAGTGCCCAGAGTGAGATGTTCCTCTAAAAGTTCCAAAAAATATGCTCTTGAGGGATTTCTTTCAATCACATACCAACCTCAGATAACCTCTTTGAAAGATTAACGGACTCACCGACAAAACTGAAACAGGACAGTTGCTCAACTGGCTCAACACACACAAACTGTTCACGCGTTCGCTTTCCAACTGAAAATATTGCGATCTCTGAATTCGATATGGCAAGAAAATTGAACTATTCAATAAAAAATAGAGTTCTATAGCCTGTCCTGCGATATCACCCAGCACCCACCTCCTCAGGCCTCGATTGTAAAAAGCCTTCGGGTCCCGTAATTCCAAGATCAAGCATTTTCTTTTCCAGATAAGGCACGATGGTACGATTTTCAGGCAAAACTCGAGCATGTACACCAAGTGTTCTACAATGTTCCAGTACCTGCAACAATTTTTTTAGCAGTTTGCTACCAAAAAATATGCCAGCATTCGGAAAATAGAAAGCTTTCGTCAGGGAGGTGTCAAGACAACCGCTCAACGTCAAAAAACCACTTGTGATGGCCTTGACATCTGTGACACCGTTAGACTCTTTTTATGACTTTTACGACATGTAGCAAATAAAATTCGGGAAAAACAGACAAATACTACTACATTAAGAACTTTTTGAGAGCAGGATGGTGTAATAAACGCTTTACTTTCGAACAACCCGCTTACACACCCTATTTAAGGATTGAAATTGTTGAAGAGTAAACGCCCTCAAAGTTCAAAAAATTGCAATCGCTGGCTGGCACTCGCTCGCGGTTTTTTTAACGAAGCAGCGAGATATATGGAGCTAATCAACTGATCGTAGCTAAGTGCGATAGTGCGAGGACATAGTGCAGGCCTTGATGGGGAAGGCGTCGGGGAAAATCGCGTTCCGGGTAAATGGAGTAAGGACTAACTCCGGGAGCATGTCACAATATTGTAAAAAGAACAAACACAAAACGAAAAAATATTATGGCAACAAAAAGAAAAGGATGTGAAGTAAAGGGTGAGTTGTAGCTTGCAAAAAAGTGGTAAAACTGCAGAAAGGTAGAGGAGAATTTAAAAGACCTGGGGTACTAGGAAACCAATTACTGCTCCTACCCTAACGGGAAATCTCGTTCAAAGGCAAACGGGTTGTACCTCCAGCTAACTGAATTAGATGGTCAGAAAGATACTCATGACGAAGATTTCCAGAATAGCAAGAATAATCTCTTTTTGATTGATAAATAAGAAATTGATCAGGTGATAAGCACATTAAATTCCAGAGACATTGTGAATCAAGGGAACTTGAAATCAAGTAGTAGTCAGCACTATAATTCGGCGCAATCCAAGTACTACCTGAAAAAGAGCATCGTCACCCTCGACATTGACGATGAAGCTATTGACGCCTTCAGAAACGAGCTTCTCCATCTCCTTCCGTACTGCATCTGACCACTGTTGTATGAGAACCTATGAAGAGTCATTTCAATATTCAGGAAAAAAGGGCAAAAAAACATTTCGAATTACCCACCGATAGCCCGATGTTACAGAGTGACGAGGAAAGACCCTCCTTGACTCTGAAGAAGGAGGAGGTCAGGGATTCTCCTGTCCTGGGAGAAACTACGTCGATTACCTGAAGTGTGAACCGGTATTATTTTGATATTCAGTTAAATTTATTATTAGAATTAGTAGGAGGCCGCCAGGATGAGATGAGGTTAGACTTGGCGTCTTGAGCGAGAAGTTAAACTTCCTAAGAAGGTCCCTCTACCACAAATTCCTATTGAGTTGCTACATTGAGTTTCACTGGAACCTCACTTTCGTATGAGAACAAACACAGCCTCATGATATTTCACGGTATTGCAAAAATTATTGACTTACGGTAGCGGTGCCTCCAGCAATGGCAGCCTTACAGCCGGTTGCCAGATCATCGGCAGAGTCCTGGACACTCAGATAGGTGTAGACGTCGATACCGGCAGGAAGGAGCATTTTGCCCGCAGCTTCCAGAACTTCTGCATCTGCAGGGACCTCCAGCGATGGACCGACATTCCTAGAAATCGACAAATTTAAAATTCATCTTTTACTCCTATTCCGCTATTTTAGCCCCAATCGAAGCAAGGCCTGTCCTTCCGGACTACCCGGGACTTCTCTGAGAATATATTTTATGTTTTATGTATTCTTAATTCGAGGTGAAAGCATGCAACAAGAAAAAACACAGGTGGTCCCTACGCCAGCCTTGTTTCCAATTTAGTTGCTAGTAATAACTAGCTCCTAATATGGAGCTTCTGTCTTTCATCTGATTAGAGGCAAAGCCTCCAGAGACCTATCATTATTTCCATAACGTTCAGGTTAATAAGATCTGGCGCGGTGGCAAAACAACCCCACCCTGAAAGCTTACCCTTACTCCATAACAGGCCATAAACTACAGATATGAAACCCATCAGGGAAGCTCGCACAGGAATCTGGCCACTTGGTGGGTCACGTGTGCACTCGCATAACTACGCTCACAAAAAAGTACTTTAATGAGAAAATCATCATCTCCTTCACAAAAAAAAATGAGAAAAAAAATGAAACTAGTTGTTTTTGTGTGATTAAGTTGAGAAGGAAGGAAGTGTAGAAGATGAAACCCAGACTGAAGAATGAATCCATGACGTGGAGAAAGAAAAAATTATTGTTGAGAGAGATCTTCTTCATCTATCCGGTGATACAGCATTGTTACTAAAGAACCCCCAAAGCCACCAGGCATAAATTGGTAAATTTACATTTAATCATATATTCATAAATGGAATATGTATCCATGAAAGGAGCTCGCTTAAGTGCATGACGCCCGATGGAAGTTTGACTATGTCCTCTTTCACGCGAAGCCCAACGTTCGCTAATCAGTAGGCTGACGCTGAGTGGAAAAAGCTTCTAGAAACTCAACTCGTCTCAAAGAGAACAGCCGCACAGATTGTCTTACTTCGGTGAAAGAAAGAAACCCAAAAGAACAAGGAAAAGTATATTGAGTACTCCAGAAATACAAAGATAAATGGAACCAAAAACACAAAACCACCTTTCAATCACTGAAGTACTCATGGTTCCATTTCTAATTCAGAAGAGCGACGATAACACCTGTCCCTACTGTACCACTCTCTTCCCCATTAAAATTCGTTAATTGAAAACCTTCCTCCTACCCTCCTTTTCCTTTGCCATTCCTTGTTCGACAACCCTTGACCGAAATTCAACAGCATCAGAAAACATAAATTAATTCTATAAACCTTCAATTCAATCAATTGTTATCGATCTTTTTTCATTCCACATTGTTACCGAATGAAAAGCCTCTCTATCGATGCCCTGTGAGTAATACAACGACAGTATTCACACATCTGACAGAATAATAGCCCGCATAGACAGATCGGTTCACACAATAACTTCTAACGGGAAGCCATGCTCGCTTGCGAAACACCAGCAATCGATTCTCGACGTACTTTAGATTGCATTCGTTTGACGTGGTGGGACATTCGAGGCTAATTCTCGAGCAAACGCTTGAAAAACCAGTATTCTCCAAAAAAAAGTCCTTTCGAATACATTTTCAAGAAAATTCAGATCCCTCGAATGTTTCTATGGTAGCCGCTTAAATTGAAAAATGAAGTGATAGCACTAGAAATTGAAAAACCGGTCACACTTAAATTCGTCGTCCATTTCGAAACTTTTCTTCCAGTTTTAATCATTGCAGCTATTCAATAGAAATAAAAAGCGAATGGTTCTCAATGACTTGCCGTTCATGAAAAATTAATTTCGGATTGATGAAGATCTTAAAACCAGTTTCTCTATTGGCTCAGGAAGAATTGATGAGTAATATTGGATGGGTCCCGTCAGAAACAAAAACTGTTCGAGATCAATGTAAGTACACTCAAGTTCAATTAATCGACAATCGCAATAGCGCTATTGAATCCAATTTCGCCACTGAGCCTTGTAGGTATTTCAGTGAGCCAATTCATGACGCTAGTGGGATGAAATATGAGGAACGATGATAGCTGTCAAGGTCGCGAACCAAGAAATATCAAAGTGGAAAGACGACGCTACTGGAAAATACCCTAGAAATGTTCTTCAGACCCTCGGACTTCACTGAGTTGAACGACTGTTTAAATTTCGAGGTAGGCAGGAGGTTTAAGCAATTAGATCGTTATAGCTATTTCAACCCGGGCGGAATAAAAGACTAGATTAGTTGACCATTTGCAGAGTAAATCAGGAATTAAACGTGCCTATCTCTTTCATGAAACCCCTCCACACCTAAGATACTTCACCTGTGATTGAGAGAGATTAATGGAAAATTCAATCTTTCGATTAATTTTTTCCACAAATCCTGGCTCTGTTCTAGGCAATGCAACTTTCGCAGAATGTACTCTGAAATGCGAAAGCTCAAGAGTGGCATCGAAAAAAAAAACAGATGAAATTACTCTCAAGCTCCTTAGATTGATATGAGTTATCGAGCCGAGACATTCGCTTCTCTCATCGTCAATAATCGAGAAAATGGTGTCGGAAGAACTTGAAATGGATGTACTTTCTACAGCAATCGCTATGTTATTCCTGACGTATGACTTTATGCGAATTGCATTTTTCACTTTGTAAAAAACCTTTGTGAAATAGTTTTATTTTTTTGAATTCCCTCCTAAAAATGATTCCAACCTGGGAGAGCTTTGAGTAGGCCTGGAAAATGCGCTAGTCTGAATCTCGTTTTGAAGGGCAGGGTAATTCACATATAGCAGATGTCCGTTATGCGACACTACATTTTACGCCTCG